TTAAATATTTTATTTTATTATTTCTTATACGCACCTGTTCGGGAATATCAATCTTGAATAAATTACCACGGATAAAGAATTCTTTATAACATAGAAGTAATACCATCGAAATGATCGCATTGAAACCCAATACAAGCGCATAACAGTTGTTTTTCAGCTGTTTTGCTACTTCAGACCTGTTGAAATAAAAATTTAAGTACRATATAATAATCTGTTATGTACTATATATTTGCAGATAAGAAATCGTGTTTGACATTTATTTTATAGGTATATAACAATTTATGATGACACTATTCCTTCAACTCTATACCTATATATTACATTATATTTTGTAGAAGTGATTATTGTAATATTTTTTTTCAATCTAAAATTTAAAATTGATCTTTACTTACAACGCCGTCACGAACATTGCTTGTATCAGTGCTCCGAATAATATGTATGACAGTTGGATCGATAACATATGTTGATGAAAGTAACAAGATATGACACATACGCCAAGAATCAATGACCCAGATCCTATGAACGCATTATCATTTGATTCCCAATTCACACGTTTTACGCCGATCTTGTATGAGCTGATAGACCCTGTGCAAAAATGTGTAATTCAAAAGATAAATTATTAGGTATCTGCATTCTGTAAGACTATATATGAAAATCAGYTTTAACAATCTCATACGTGTATATTTCCAGAAGCCGAGGGGAGGGTGGRGAKGGGGGTTATTGATTTGTACTCATAATCTTAAAAATTAATCTTAGATACACATAATCTTAAGATTAATCATAAATTGTTTTAGATTCTGCAGAGCAGATGAACGCATTAAATATGACGTACTGAATTTACAATGTGTGTCTTTTTAAAGTTGTTTTTTTTTTTTTTGATTTAGAACAGAAACATGCTTCTATCTTCGCAACATGGAGGTTTCGGATGCTAAATCGGATCTAATTTGTTATTCTTTATGGGGAGGGAGAGGGGATATTTATTTTTTTGGCTGCATACTAGTTGCGGTCATGACGATTTTTGAGATAAACAGATATAACAGTTGCGGTCACGCCAATT